TCCCTGCTCAGAGGGGATCCTCAGCACAGCCCTGAAGATCTGCACATAGGAGAAAACTATGAACACAAAACAGCCGAGTGTTAAACAGGCACTAACTGCAATGAGCCCAAGTTCCCTGAGGTAGGATTTGGAGCAGGAAAGCTTGAGGATCTGTGGAATTTCACAGAAGAACTGGCCCAGAGCATTGCCCTGGCACAGGGGCACGGAAAATGTATTGGCCGTGTGCAGCAGAGCATTAAGAAACCCACTGGCCCAGGCAGCTGCTGCCATGTGGGCACAAGCTCTGCTACCCAGGAGGGTCCTGTAGTGCAGAGGTTTGCAGATGGACACGTAGCGGTTGTAGCACATGATGGTCAGGAGGAAATACTCTGCTGACATAAAGAAAAGAAATAAGAAAACTTGTGCAGCACGTCCAGAGTAGGAGATGTTCCTGGTGTCCCAGAGGGAATTGTGCATGGCTTTGGGGACAGTGGTGCAGATGGAGCCCAGGTCAGTGAGGGCCAGGTTGAGCAGGAAGAAGAACATGGGGGTGTGCAGGTGGTGGCCGCAGGCTACGGCGCTGATGATGAGGCCGTTGGCCAGGAGGGCAGCCAAGGAGATGGCCAGGAAGAGGCAGAAGTGCAGGAGCTGCAGTTGCTGCGTGTCTGCCAATGCCAGCAGGAAGAAGTGGCTGATGGAGCTGCTGTTGGACATTTGCTGTCTCTCAGCCTAGTGGACTGTTGAAAGAAGAAATTGACAAGCTGCGACCAACCTCTTTGATTCAGTTCTCTGGAACTAGTTTAGGAATCCTCTCAAAATTCTTGCTGTGGGAAAATTTCACTAAAGATTTTTATTTCTGAGTGCAGGTTAGTGCTGCTGCTGACTTCTTGCTTCATCTTTGGCATTGTTGCCAACCCGAATGCTGGGGAGCCCAGAGGAAAAACAAGGCTCCCTATGTCCCAGTGCAGTCAGACCTCCTGGTCCCACACAGGTGCCCTTTGCTCATTTCACTTCCATCTATTTCAGTGTTGCTGAACATAACACATGCTTGAAAAATGAAGTGCACCTTTTGAGGCTCCAGTCTAAAATACAATCTCTCTAAACCCTCCCCTCCTTCCCTGTACAGGTGGACAAGGAGGGCTATCCAGGGTTGGTTTGGCTCTCTACTGCCTGGAGTTGTGCCTACTGGGAGCTCTTTCTCTCTATCCAAGTCTTGTCCCTGCCAGTGCTGCTGGAGCCCAGACCAGCCCTGGGGGCTCAGCTCTGCCCTGCAGACCCCTTCCAGCACAAGGCACTGCCCAGCAGCATCTCCCTGGCAGCAGGGCCTTAAGGGCAGCTCAGACAGAGATGCTGCAAGCCAAGGTGCTGCTGCTGCTGTTGACTGTAGGCAGAGGAGGGTGAGGAGGCACTTTGTGAGCGAGATGTGAGGCAGATCTGCTGAAGCCCAGTGGGACAGTGCAGGAGTCTCAGTGACACAGACACACCTGACAGCCCCTTTCCCTTCCCTTG